TAGATAACATTGACACTTCAGCAGTCAAAAACCACAGGGAAGCTTGCCATAAATTATACAACAGTCATGACCACTGTGTAACTGAGACTGGATTGGTCTGAGGAAGGGGGCCAGCCCCCCAAAACTCATCAGCTGGTTCTGTCATCCGTGTAACCCTTTGAAGTAGGAAGGCAGACTTCTGGACTCTGTATTTTGATTCACTACTACTCTATTTTGGTTTGTGAGTATATTTGATTCTTTTAATAAAGTTCTGCAGATAATGCACTAGGCATTTGTGCCCTTTTGTTCTTTGTTGTCAAATAATTTTTAAGCCTGTGTTTTAATATGCTTAATAAAGTTATTATATATTTTTTAAATACTTTTGTGTGTTGTGTCCTTTAACATCCTTGCCACCCACCTTATATTAGTTTAACCTGTAAGGGGAAGCCTACCTTTTCCCTCCTTGTCAGATACCTCTCCCTGACACTGCTTCTACTCTTTCCTAACAAGCAGGGTTCTACCCCTGGCCTTCTTCCACACTTTTGCAGTGCCAAATGACACATAATCTGTTTATTAAAGTACCTACATGTCAAGATGGCCACACAGTTTTGTGTGATTTTGGCATCCAATAGGAGATGCTGGCCTCACCAAGATGGCTGCTGGAGACCATAATAGGGAACAAAATCAGTTCCCATTGGTTTCCTGACAGGCCGAAGAAGCAGCACAGTGCCACCTTTAGGTCCAACAGATTAAACTCCCAATATCTGCCTGCATGCTGGGATTGTTCAAAAATTGTTCAAATTATTGCAACTGGAATTGTTCAAAAATTATGTACAGTTTCAGATTATTATATGAACACACACTTAAGATCAATCATTGTGAAGTGAAGCTTAAATATTTTAATCACAGAAAGTATCTCTGAGATTTGGAACCTCGTCTCAATAGGTTAGGTAAAGTGCACACTGAACAATATATTTACAGTTGTGGCCAAAAATTATTCAACCCCCACTGAAAATTGAGTGTTTTGGCCAGTTTGACATTGCTTTTGATCATCAGTCATCTTGCTTACATTTACATTAAAGAGGCACTTGTAGGTCAGACAAATATAACATAACAGTTATAATGAAATAACCACAAATGTCTTTTCTGTGCTCACAGCATTATCAGTTTTTTATTCAACCCCCAAGTGACATTCAATCTTAGTACTTAGTACAGCATCCTTTTACAGTTATAACAGCTTTTAAACGTGAAGCATAGCTTGACACAAGTGTCTTGCAGCGATCTACGGGTATCTTCGCCCATTCTTCATGGGCAAAGGCCTCCATTCAGTCACATTCTTAGGCTTGCGCACTGCAACTGCTTTCTTTAAGTCCCACCAAGGTTCTCAATCGGATTTAAGTCTGGTGACTGCGATGGCCACTCCAAAATGTTCCAGCCTTTCCTCTGCAACCATGCTCTAGTGGACTTGGAGAGTATGCTTGGGATCATTGTCCTGTTGAAAGGTCCAACGTCTCCCAAGCCTCAGGTGTGTGACGGACTGCATCACGTTTCCATCCAATATCTCCTGGTACTGAAGAGAATTCATGGTTACCTTGCACACGCTGAAGCTTCCCCTGTACCTGCAGAAGCAAAACAGCCCCAAAGCATGATTGACCCTCCACCATGCTTCACAGTAGGCAAGGTGTTCTTTTCATCATAGGCCTTGTTCTTCCTCCTCCAAACATAGCGTTGATCCATGGCCCCAAACAGTTCTAATTTTGTTTCATCAGTCCCACAGAACACTATCCCACAACTTTTGTGGTTTGTCCACATGGCTTTTTGGCAATACTGCAGTCGACTCTTCTTATTCTTTGGAGACAGCAAGGGGGTACGCCTGGGAGTTCTGGCACGGAGGCCTTCATTACGCAGTGTGCGTCTTATTGTCTGGGCTGAAACTTCTGTACCCACAAATCTGACAAATCTTTTCTCAGTTCCTCAGCAGTCACACGGGGACTTCTCTCCACTCTACGCTTCAGGTAGCGCACAGCAGTCGAAGTCAGCATCTTCTTTCTGCCACGACCAGTAAGCGTTTCAACAGTGCCCTTTGCCTTGAATTTGCGAATGATGCTTCCTAAGGTGTCTCTTGGTATGTTTAACATCTTTGCAATGCTTTCTTAAAGCCATTGCCCTTCCTGTGAAGAGAAATCACCTCTTCTCTTGTCTTCCTGGACCATTCTCTTGCCTTCACCATGTTTGTAACCACACCATTAAATGTCTAGAAGGAGCTGAGTATCACAGTCATTTTAAAGCTGCCTAATTGGTGCAATGCTTGATAGGTGTTTTCAATACCTGATGGAAAGCACCTGTATGAACCTCTGTTCTTCAGAGTGGTAGTCTTTAAGGGGTTGAATAATTGTGGCAATGAAGAAACCACATAAGAACCATTTACTACTGTAACAATAAACAATGATGTCATTTTAGTTGCATTTGGGTAGTTACAACGTCCTTGTAGGATTTGATTCTGAATACAATTCCAAATGTACACTATAGTCCCTAAACCCCTTTACAGCATTGGGGGTTGAATAATTTTGGCCACAACTGTATGTATGCCAAGGACAAAAGCAATAACTAGAAGTAGTTGATCACATTAAACTGGACGAGACACACAGAACAAGTTTAATATGACTTAATGCTACCAGCTATCCCATGACCTAGAGCAGGGGTGTCCAAACGTTCTAAACAAAAAGCCAGTTTACTGTCCTTCAGAGCTTAGGGGGGCCAGACTGTGGCCAGTGGGAGTAGAACATTTCCTGGCATCAGTGGGAGTAAACTATCCCACCTTTGGTATTAGGGGGAGGAATAATGCCTCATCATTGGTGTCAGTGGGAGGGATAGTGCCCCATCATCGGTGTCATTGGGAGAAATAGTGCCTCGTCATTGGAGTCAGTGGGAGGAATAGAGAGTCTTCATTGGTATCAGTGGAAGGCATAGTTCCCCATCATTGGTATCAATGAAAGGAATAGTGCCCCATCATTGGAGTCAGTGCGAAGAATAGTGACCCTTTGTCGGTATCAGTGGGAGGAATAGTTCCCCATCATTGGTGTCAGTGGGAGGAATAGTGCCCCACCATTGGAGTCAGTGGGAGGAATAGTAACCTTTCGTTGGTATTCATGGAAGAAATATAGCCCACATCTTTGGTGTCAGTGCAAGGAATAGTGCCCCATCATTTATGTCAGTGGCAGGAATAGTGCTTCATCATTGGTGTCAAAGGCAGAAATAAACCCCCTTTGTTTGTGTCAGTGAAAAAAATAGTGTTTCAAGGGTTGGATAAAGGCAAACAAAGGGCCACATCCAGCTTCCGGGACACAGTGTTTGGAGACCACTAACCTAGATGAATGAAAATCTTCACAGACATATTGAACAAATAGATCTTTCAATGATTTGATTATTCTAGAACTTTCTGATTGAGCCCCATTTGGTTTTATTTAAGTAGTTAGCTCTGGTTGCTACTTGGAAGTATAATGGCTTCTCTCTGGCTGACTTTCAAGTATCCTGGCTTATTCCTAGCAAGTATTAAGGCTTCCAGTCAAATTATATTGCTGGCTGTGTGCTGATTAACACCTAAAGAACTTATATCTCTAAAGTATTGTTATATTCAGTTTGAAGTCTTTATTAATTTTAACATTGCAAATTATTCCTTTCTCATCCATATCAATCTTAAAGCTCCTTTTACAGTGGTTTCCTAATAATCTAAGGCCTGGTTCATACCATTGTGATTTCTGATGCGACAGAATCACATGACAAAGGAAATAACAATGTTTCAATAGTGGCCCATCACATCAGTGCAATGAAACTGCAACATGAGTTTGGGGAAGGGTCGTGTGCTACTTTGGTGCAATGCTGTGTGATTCTGTGGCCCATAGATGTTAATGAAAATGTATCAAAACTGCATTTATATGTTTTTTTTTATATTATTTTGGTGTGTTTTTCTATTCTTTTCCTTTCCATGATGATGAATAGTAAGTAGTATTAGTAGTAGTAGTAGTTGTATCACCAAAATGCACAGCTGTTAAATTGCATCTCAATCGCACTTTAAGCACATCAACATCACAAAGCACTCACAATGCAGAATCACACCTCAAATTGCTTTCAAAACTGAAATTATAAGTAAAAATTTTGATTATTAGTTATCTTTAAAATAACCCCTATTATTCTTTTTGTTGGACCTCTATGCCATGGGTTCTTAAATTTGATAACCTGAGGATACAAATTGCAGAGCTTAACTGTGCTGGAAATCAAGAAAATTATTACACAAATGTGAACAAATCCAAAGAAGACAAATAACAATGGCTATATGACAAATTGTGGGAGCGCTTCACCATTTCTGTAAGCTATAATGAAGCTGAGAGAAATAAATTCTTCATTATATTTGATTTTTGACATTTTCAACTAGTACTTGGGTCTCTTCACCTCACCTTGTCAGTATATTTTCCTCCGCCTTCTGCCTCGCTCATTTTCTAGCTATACTCCATGCGTATCTGTGCTGTCTTTTTTAATCCAATTGTTTCACAGGTTTTGAGCGGGCTGGTGGTGTCATGGGCTGGGATTTAACGTTTTCATCCTAGAGAAATGAACCATCACTGTTTATATTAACCACATTGTTTATAGGCTAGGTCTGAAAGCATAGTAGTTTATAATTTAAAACAAGTTTGCTATATCTCTCTCCGCCAGTAAGCTACTCAGTCACAGAGAGTGTAAGAAGACATGCGGCCACTCATTGAAATTGGAGGAGAAGCGGTTTAACCTTAACCACTTGCCTATTGGGCACTTATACCCCCTTCCTTACCAGGCCAATTTTCAGCTTTCAGCGCTGTTGTGCTTTGAATGACAATTGCGCGGTCATGCAACATCGTACCCATATGACATTTTTTGCATTCTTTTCTCACAAATAGAGCTTTCTTATGATGGTATTTACTTGCCTTTTGCGCTATAAACAAAAAAAGAGCAAAAAATGTGAAAAAAAAAAAGTTTCTTTGTTTCTATTATAAAATTTTGCAAACAGGTAATTTTTCTCCTTCACTGATGTGCGTTGATGAGGCTACACTGATAGGCAGCACTGATGGGCACTGATAGGTAGCACTGAAGGGCACTGATAGGCAGCACTGATAGGCAGCATTAATGAGGTGGCACGGATAGGCGGCACTGATAGGTGGCACTGATAGGCGGCACTGATGATGGGTAATGATAATCAGCACTGATAGGTGGCACTGACTGGCGGCACTGCTGGGCATTGACTGGCACAACTGCTGGGCACTGACTGGCACAACTGCTGAGCACTGACTGGCGGCACTGCTGGGCTGCACTGCTGGGCACTGGTGGGTGGCACTGATGGGCCCAGGTGGATGACACTGCTAGGCACAGGTGAGTGACACAGATGGGTGGCACTGCTGGTGGGTGACACAGGTAGGTGGAACTGCTGAGCACATGTGGGTGGCACTGGTGGGTGGCACTGCTGGGCACAGTGGGTGGCACTGGTGAGCACTGCTGGGCACAGATGGGTGGCACTGCTGGGCACAGGTTGGCGGCACTGCTAGGCACAGGTGGGCGGAACTGGTGGGTGGCACTGCTGGGCACCGATCATCAGGGCACTGATCATCAGTGCCCTGATGATCGGTGCCGATCCCTGCTCTGACAATTGCCAGTTCTAGGCAGTACTTTCCTCACGTTTTGACTGCGTGAGGAAAGTGCAGCCGAGAAGCGGCAATTGCATTTCCCTGTGATCAGCGTGTCATTGGACATGGTTGATCACATGTTAAAAGGCATATGATTGGCCTTTTACCACATCGCGTGATCAGCTGTGTCCGTAGGACACAGCAATCATGGAGATTGCCGGGTGTGCGCCCCCGGGGGCGCGCAGGAGAGCACGTTCTGGGAGGATGTCATATGACTCATATCATTCGGCTATCTGCGTTCGGCAACTAGTTAAACTGCATAGGGGTGTCACGGTGTGGCCGCTGTCCCTGCTCGCTCCCCCCTCCCTCCCCCTTCGCCGCATCCTCTCATCCTGCACACAGCCTTTGAAGCAGGCTGTGCAGGATGGGGGGAGGGGACCCCAGCAGCGAGGATCACGGCCCCCCGGCAATCTAGCCGGAGGAGCTGTGACCCCCCCCCGCCAGGAGACCCCAGCGGGGGGCCGCCGGGAGGTTTCTGCGCACCCCCGGCGGACGCTGTGCGGGCACAGGTCTTCCCACGCTCTGCGCCCAGCAGTGACAAAGGCCAAGTCCATGAGAGCGTGGCCCGAGTCAAGGGGGCATCCTGCCCAGCTTTAAAAGGCCAGCGCGGGATCCGGCCTCTCTCTCTATGCCTGCCGCCACCTCTGTCGTGGGAGATCTGGATGGGGACCGGACCTCCGCCGCTGTAACCGCTGGGCACTCTGCAGGAGACCAAACACCCCCCCAAAGGTCAGGACTATTATCCGATGCCACCCTGCTAAATACTCCAGGGTTGGGAGTACCCGCTGTGCTGTGTGCTGGAAATGCTTCGCTGTGGGCCCCCCCGATACCCTGCCTAATACTCTGGGGCCCAGATTACCCGCTGTGCTGTGTGCTAGAACTGCTTTGCTGTGGGCCCCACAATACCCTGCCCTATACTCTGGGGCCCAGATTACCCGCTGTGCTGTGTGCTAGAACTGCTTTGCTGTGGGCCCCACAGTACCCTGCCCTATACTCTGGGGCCCGGATTACCCGCTGTGCTGTGTGCTAGAACTGCTTTGCTGTGGGCCCCCTGATACCCTGCCTACTACTCTGGGGCCCTGGTTATCCGCTCTGCTGTGTGCTGAGTGTCTGCAAGCCGCCTACCTACCTGGAAACCGCCTGCTGCTGAATGTCTGCAAGCCGCCTATTGTGAGTGTCCCTAGAAGCCATGAACTGCCCCTATTGTGTGCTCAGACTACCCTTGCCATGAACTGCCCCTATTGTGTGCTCAGACTACCCTTGCCATGAACAGCCCCTATTGTATGCTCTGACTACCCTTGTTTGAACGGCCCCCATGGCGTGCCCGGAGTATAGCTACCTGGACTGCCCCCCTGAGGGCTTGAGCCATCGCTACCCGAATCAGACCCCATTGCCAAGGTCCCTCTGAGCCTGATGTTGTCCCTAGAAAGCTGTGTGGGAGCTGTGCTGAGGTCAGACCCCACAGCAAAGTTCCCGCTGAGTCCCCGTGAGCCTGATGTTGTCCCTAGAAAGCTGTGTGAGAGCTGTGCTGAGGCCAGACCCCACAGCCAAGGTCCCGCTGAGTCCCCGTGAGCCTGATGTTGTCCCTAGAAAGCTGTGTGGGAGCTGTGCTGAGGCCAGACTCCATAGCCAAGGTCCCTCTGAGTCCCCGTGAGCCTGATGTTGTCCCTAGAAAGCTGTGTGGGAGCTGTGCTGAGGCCAGACTCCATAGCCAAGGTCCCTCTGAGTCCCCATGAGCCTGATGTTGTCCCTAGAAAGCTGTGTGGGAACTGTGCTGAGGTCAGACCCCCAGCAAAGGTGCTGCTGATTCCCTATGAGCCCGCTTACCGTGAGTGTCCCTACGAGCCATATGTTGTGGAGTGCCATGAACTGTCCTGATTAAGTGTCTTTCATAGTTCAATAAAGCTTTGTGTGTTTGTGTGTTTACCATCTTCTTTGTGTGTTCTGTCATGCCTACGCTTCCGTCACAGGGGGTTATGGATATTACATGGAGGATATGAAATTCCCATCCACAATCAGTGGTGTAAGCGAGAAGTATAGATAGTTTCAAAATACTCTTAGAAGGGCATCTTAGCCAGCACAGTATACAGGGATATGGAAAATGGTATTTAACATGAACACACATACCCACACAGGTTGAACTGAATGGACTGGTGTCTTTATTCAACCTTACCAACTATGTAACTATGATTTTGCATTTGACCAAACTAGGCTACATTTACAACGTAGTCATGTATAGACACATCATAAACATGTCTACGACACAATTTGGGAACCAACCCATAATTTAACAAAATGCTCTTTGCCAGAATTTTTTCAACCAGAGCACCATGGCACCCTGTGGTGCTTCGTCAAAATGCCTAAAATCTCCTAAAAATTGCCCAAAAATTGTCAACAAGTTGCCAGGTAGGTCAAACCTGTCTTTTTTTATTACACAAAGCCAAAGGTTTTAAATGTGCAGCTTGCAACCTTAGGTGCTGTGCAAGTCAGCCGCTGGCATTCTAACAACCAGTGGTGGGCCGTCAGGGCCACCCAGATGGCCTAAACACTGCCTAAACTATCAGAACCACTAACTTACCTTTAAATACCAAAGCATTAAAGAGCATACATTTTTTGGAAACAGGGACTTTCCAAGCACCACAATTAAGCAACAATTATTACATTTTATTAAGTTCAATCTTTAAAAACCATAAAGAGGTTCTTTCTACATAGTATGACAATATGGTATTTGATACATATGGTATATGGTATTTGGTATTTGATATGGTATTTGGTATTTGATATTTAAAATGTATGCTCTTTAATGCTTTGACAATTGGGATAGAAGCACCATAATCATTTTTTCATTAGGACTGACCTGTAACAAATATAATATATTTAATATATTTTTTCCATTAATGTTTTATTCCCAGTGTAGTCCATTCTCTTCATTTCATAGCTTTTCTCTTGGTGTCACTGCTTCCAGTAGTGCCTCAGGCCTGCCTTACAGAAGGGGCCCTCCTCTATACAAAAATTTTATAAAAACAATATAAAACATTTATATATAAAATAACTTAAAAAATCAATAAATAATATAAAATGTATATTTTAAAAGAATTTACTTTCTTTTATTTCATGTATCTTGGAAAGTAATATTTTGCTGGCCATCATCTTTAAAGGTTTTTACTCTGGACTGGTATATTGTATTGTTTTTAAGAAAAAATTTTGGTGGCTCAAGCAAGCCACACATAGAACAGTATGACTGTGTGTGTGTGTGTGTGTGTGTGTGTGTCAAAACGTTTGACTGTCATTGAGAACGTAACCCAACTCTATGTAATAGGGACCCCCGAACCTGAAGTGCCCTGGCCCCCCAAGGTCTAAATCCGGCTCTGATTAGAGCTTTATCCAATCATATTTCATCCATGATAGCCATCATGTATTGCCAGGGTCACAGAAATCTGCCTTAGCCTTAGGTATTCACAATCAACAGTGTAGGCATCTGTAACTTACAGTAAATGGCAATAAAACTGTTGCTTTAACCAATCAGATTTTGAGTTGGTGACGCTGGGGCCATCTAGCACTGTCTCTGTGTCCATTGCTTCTGTCAAGTGGACAGTCTCAGCCCTAATACGAATCAAAACCTATGCCAGAAATACGACTGGATAGACTCAATTTTAGCTTTAGCTTTAATAGCGATAGAAAATAAATTATTGTTGGAACTGAAATGTACAGATAGCCTGTACAACAGAGTAATCGAAGGAGGATGGATTTTGTGTACAAATAATCAGTAGTTTTGGTAAATATAATTCATTTTATTAACATACAGTCAGCCCTGGCTAATCCAGGCCCTGCTTTTTCTGTGTCCTCGTTTTTTCTGTGATGAATTTTAAAGCTTACAGCCAAAAATCGCTGGATTCATTCAGGTAGGACATCACTGAAGGCCTAGGTGTGATATGCACTGCTAACAAATGATGATGTCAGGGGTTGATAAGGAGGACATCGGGTACCTGAGGATGTCCTTGTTTGCTTCTCTCTGACAGCACTGGAGTCACATTAGTAGAATGAGGAGAAGAGAAATCCTGCAATACTTGTCAATACCAATTTGAAAAGGTATATTTGCATTGTAAAAATAAATCACTTCTAATTTTGAGTGTCATGGATGCTGGTGCATTATGTAAAGCTATTTATTTAATTATTTTTACATTTTAGAATGGGGTGCCTTGAAATTGTGCAGAATTTTAAAGATTGTCTTGATTTGAAACAATATTGGGAAACACTGCTCTATGCATATAAACTGAAAACAGGTAAAGAAAACAATATTTCAAAGTCGCCATACCTCAATACTTTGGGGAAGATTTACTAAAACTGGAGCACTCAGAATCTGGTACATGGTAGCCAATCAGCATCACAGTTCAGCTTGTTTAATTAGGCTTTCACAATTAAACCTGGAAGCTGATTGGTTTCCATGCAGAGCTGCACCAGATTTTGCACGCTACAGGTTTAGTAAATCTCCCCCTTACGTCAAGAGGCTTCCATAAACTGGATAACTTGGCTTGAGTGCATTGCTGTACTCTGGCTCATTTTTAATTTTGATACATTTTCCTGTGTATCTTAGTTCTGTATTGCATTGTTTTTTATACTTTCGACCTCACTTGTATTGTGAAATCAAACACAATCAGTTGTGCTAATGGTACTGATTGAATAGCAGCAGTAGACTTGTTCAGGTCATCATTGTCAGAAGAATGGAGAAATGGCCAGTCTGTTAAACTGCAGCTTTATCTGCACATCTATTCAGTAGACTAATACCAACTTTTGAGCTATAAAAGCAAGTAGAGGATAGATTCATAGATAGATAGATAGATAGATAGATAGATAGATAGATAGATAGATAGATAGATAGATAGATAGATAGACAGACATAGATATCTTGGCAAAGTCCTATGTGCTCTTTCATAACAATAGCATTACGCACATATACTGAACACATGATACAGAAATGTTGGCTCTAGCTGGTGACCACAGTTAACCTCTCACATGCCATTTCCTGAGGTTGCTTGGGGGGTATTGATGCCAGGAGCAGAGCCATTCTCATTACCAGCCTAGGACATATTCATTTCAATGCTCTAATGAGCACCAGTTTGTCTGTGGAGAAATTGGGCCTGGGGGATGCCTCGTACTTACTAGGATTTAAGGCTTTGAGTTTCTAATCTGGTCACTGAGAAAGTAGAATAATCTTCCAGTGCTGCTTCCTTCTAAGAAGCAGTGTTTTTTATATCCAGAGACTGGCATTTTAAAGTATGTTAATTACCATACAAATAGGCAACGGGTAGAAATGTTTGCATTTTAAATGTTGGTGCTGCTGCCGATGCAAGAAGAATGAAAAGACCATTTGCTGTGATCCGTTAAGACTGCCTGCGTTATGGTTCCTGCAAGCAAGAATGGCCTGGCCCTTTTCCAATGCAAAATTATGACTTAGGAAGTTAGGGTGTTCACAGATAAGTCATTTAACAATATTCCTTTTACATTAATTACACTTTTGCCATATCATTCCTATCCTTCACTGAGTATACTAGCCACCTACAACATAAGGGATTTGTTCTAAGACTGGCCTACTGGCCAATAATGAGCTAAGCAATCTATCATCCAGTTACCTGAAATAGCTTGTGGAACTCTGAACCTTTCCACTGAACCTACCTGTGCTCTTCTGGTGTGCATTGATCCTAAAATGTGTTTGACTAAAGTAAAATATAAACAAAATTGAATACCTTTCTGATCATGTGCATAAATAGCCAGAGAGTTAGACCCTGTGGGAAAATCATCCAATGGGGGCAAGTGTCCCCTGACAACTAATATATTTCAGCTTACCAATGCAACTTACCAAATGTTAGATGTGATAACTACATTAGGTTTATTTTTTAGGCTTCCCTTCTTTTATTTTTTTGGTAAGTCTGTTTTTAACAGAACAAACTGTCCTGAATTATTAGCAGTTACAAGATTGAGACATACCATTTAAAATGCTACTAAACCCAGGACCCTGCATTCACTATATCTGGTCTCCCACAGTACATACAACATGGAAATGCAATTATTTTAGTAAATATTAACTGCTAAATACCTTTGCTCATCAGTAGTTAGAGCAGTTTTGTGACTTCTATCGGTGTCCAGCAGAGCACTGGATAAAGCTTGTAGGAAGAGTTTTCATTCTCCTCTCACTGTCCTATGAAGCTGGATAACCCCTGACCTCTGTCTGGACAGTGCTGATTGACCGTATGCTGATCATATGCACTCTTCCAAGAAAATAAAACTCTCTAGGAATACACACCAAACTGAGCAGGTGCAGCTTGCCCCCAAGGCTCTGTTCAGTCAGCAGGTGGATTGGGGACTGTGGAAGAATAAAAAGATCAGAGAAGACATCTTTTTTACACAATGTGGACGATTAACCCCTTTAGTTCCACTGTGAGTATAACAAGCATGCTTTACTGCATACACAGATTGATTTTACTGTTGTGGGTTTAGTAACACTTTAACACTGTCAGGGGTGCTTACAACGGTCAGCTTTTATTTATGCAAAACATTTTTCCCAAAAGGAAACAACTTTTACTGTGAATGCGTACAAAGTGTGAGCTGGAGTTCAGCTTTAATTTGTTAGTGTATTAAATCTGCAAATCCATTCAACACTCCCCTCCATTCCAGACTAACAGTACTGCTGTCCAAAGGTGCCCCTGTGCTGCTTCATCCAGAGTGAGGTCACAATACAGCAGGCCAGAGCACCAAGTGAAGACAGAGAGGAAAAAAAGTCTAAAAGATAGAATTGCAGCAACAACATCCAAGGATTGGTAAGCTGCAATATATTACATTTTTGGTTTTGGGTTTATTACTGCTTTAAGATAGGAATTTCTCTCACTTTGGGGATATCTCCTCCTACTTCCTGTTGCATCTCCAGGACAGGAAGTGAAGTGAAAATTTCCCATTGGGACAAGGACAGTACAAAAAAGATGATGGGGGTTTAAACACATCCCTATTCCCACAGCTTGTTAAAATGAAACTGTCACAAGAGAAACATGAGACTGACATGTAACCACCTGGCTGTCAAGGTTACCCTTTTAGTGCTTTGAGTCATTCACACACAATTGTTTGCAGTTAAGGACTTTTAGTTTGCATACTTGTTTTGGGTCAGTGACTCATTACGAGGGGAACCATACTTCTTGCCTGCTACTCTACGACCACAAAGCCAGGAACACAGCAATAACAATACTGGATTATCTTTTTAGGATTGGGTTAGGTGCAGGGGCGGACTGACAACTCATGGGGCCCCCGGGCAATAGGGGATCATGGGGCCAATGTGTCATTGCCCAAACTCAAAAAAGCCTATGAAAAAGGTACCAGGGGCATCTCATGGGGCCCCCTACTGACCCCGGGCCCTCGGGCAGTGCCTGAGTTTCCAAATGGTCAGTCCACCCCTGGTTAGGTGTTATTTCGAGTTAATGTCACATGTTACACATTTAATTTGACTGCTAAAAGATTAAAGCGGAACTTTAGGTAGGTGTAAAACATCCATGTTTATCCAATTCATATATTTACAGTATTTAAAAATTCTTAACGCTGAACTCTAGAGCAGGGGCGGACTGACAACTCATGGGGCCTCTGGGCAATAGGGGATCATGGGGCCCCTGTGTCCTTGCCCAAACTCAAAAAAAGCCTATGAAAAAGGTACCAGGGGCATCTCATGGGGCCGATACTGACCCCGGGCCCTCGGGCAGTGCCTGAGTTTCCAAATAGTCAGTCCGCCCCTGCTCTAGAGAAGCCTTTCTCAACCAGGGTGCCTTGAGGTTTCTTCAGGGGTGCCTTGGCGAAATGTCTAAAAATTACCCAAAACTTGTATACAAGCCAGTGGGTGGAACAAACCTGCCTTTTAGTTACACAAAGCCACAGGTTTTCATTGTGCACCATTAAGACCTTCTAGCCACCGGCGCCCTGACAGCCAATAACATCATCAGTTGATAAGGAGGTTGTCAGCCGCCTGCACAGCATCCTAGTTTGACCCTCCCTGCCCCTCTCTGTCAGTGCTGGGGTCACATTCACTCAGTGATGGAGAAATACTGAGGGAGAAGAGAAACATTGGAATACTAGTCAGTACCAGTGTGCAGAAGTGGATTTGCTTTGAAAGAATAAATCACCTCCAGGAGTGGACTGACAACTCATGGGGCCCCCGGGCAATAGGGGATCATGGGGCCCCTGTGTCCTTGCCCAAACTCAAAAAAGCCTAAGAAAAAGGTACCAGGGGCATCTCATGGGATCCCCTACTGACCCCGGGCCCTCGGGCAGTGCCCGAGTTTCCAAATGGTCAGTCCGCCCCTGATCACCTCTATTGTTGGGAGTCCTACATGTGTGGGTGTTGCTGCATTATATAAAACTATTAGAATAGTTTTTCTCATTTTAGAATGGGGTGCTCTTTTAAGATTATGGACAGTATAGAGGCACCCCATTTTATAATGGGGTGCCTCAAGACTGTCAATAATTTTAAAGGGTGCCTCGGGACTGTCCATAATTTTAAAGGGTGCCTTGAGTGAAAAAAGTTTGAGAAACACTGCTCTAGAGAAAGTAAAAATTGTTCCTTGCAGTGGGCTGTCCCCAGACTGCAAGGGTTAAATTCTCAGACCAGGGAAAGCACTTTTAGTGCCCGGTCATACTGGTGCAATTTGGGAATTGAAATTGCACCTGAAATCGCATCTAATGAATGTGAATAGCAGTGTCTTAACATTTGCGATTTGCTGCACCGCGATTTCTATAGTAGTTCTTGCATTACTGTTTCTGTATTTTTGTTGCGATTTCACATACATAGTATATAATGGAAATCGCACTACAAATTGCAAGAAATTGTTGAAAATCTTCACAATTAGCAATAAAGTCTTCAGAATTCGCACCTGAAATCATGCTGAAATTGCACACAGATTGCACGATTTTAAATCGCAGCGGTGTGAGCGGCAACTTACTTACCTGATCCTCAGCTCCCGAGGCTCCTCCATACTGCAAAACCTGCAGCCTCTTCTCGCTATGCTCTGGCTGTTGGAGGATTCTGTAAGTAAAACTGCTTTTCTTTTCCCCAGACCTAACTGAGCATTTAAAGTGGTTCTAAACCCAAACAGGTTTTTTTTTGCCTTAATGTAAATATAAATATAAAATAATGGAAAGAAAGCCTAAAAAAGCAACCATCACATCTAAGAATTGGTAATGAATGTTTGCTTCATGTTTGTTTCATTAATTGCACTGTGCAATGTTGTTAATCTGGCAAAGACAGAATCTTATAAGAAAAGAAGTAAAGTTTTCTTAGTATGCATTCACTCTGGCAGTTTTTTCCAAGCCCGGGCATGGTTCACCTCCTTGGTCTGGTTCATTTGTGTAGTGTGCGTGCTCCGAACTGTGCTTAGGAACAGTTGGCAGAGGTAGTCCCGGGTGCTGTTCACTTGTGGTCAGGTATGGTTGGCTTCAGTGTGAGTACAAACCTTGCCTGAGAACAGAACTATCCATAGATCTTGGAGCATAGAAGCAGGGATCACTGTGGTCTTGTTGGCACAAGTGGTGATGGTGTAAGTGAGCCCGGGGACACTTGCGTATAACCTACTGTGTGTCCAGACCAGCAGGAGAATGGGGACAATGGAACTAAGCCATAGTTCACTGCAACCATGCCAAGTGTTAGTGAACCATTAGTATTCAATCAGCCTGTGGCAGGTCCTTATATTACATTAACTACAGTGCAGAAAAGTGAGGTCAGGGAACTGGCTGTGCTGTGTGGCAGGGGCGAGTGGCTGAACTAAATCACACATTTTTGAAAAGATCAATCAGCTCATGTATATATATATAGATATATATATCTATATATATATAGATATATATATCAATTTTACTTTTTTTTACTGTAGCGCTACCCCCTGCAGGGGCTGCTTGGTGGATTGGGTTCTCTGTTCTGCTTCGACTCTGAGAACAACCTCAACTCCACTGACATGCAAGGTTAAGCAAAAAATACTGCACTGCTACTGAGAGTACAAATATAGATTGTCACGGGTTGCAGTAAATAGTGGTACACATAAAGAAGTAAAGGATTAAGTCAATCAAAGTTCAGCATACAATATGTTCACTAGGCTATAGCAGCATATAATGGAGTTCTATGCAGCTAAATTAGAGTAAACCTGGCAATCCACAAAATCAGCAATAAGTAATGGCATTAGAAAACAGTAACAGCAATGATAATCAATACTGTGATAACTCCTCTATAAACAGTAGGCTATACTTTAGAGTGCACTCTGTATGAATGGTAGCGATGCAATTTAAAACTCCCTGAAAAGGTACCTCTTACTAAGAACAAGAGGCAAAGTTCTTGTGAAGGAGCTATCTGAGTGAGTATTCTTTAGCTCTAGGCACTGGGGCCCAGTCTTTATGGTGGTGCACATGAGTACAGTCCCAGTAAAGTCTACATGCAGTAAATAATGTTCCTAGCTAGACAGCCAGTCCCTATGTACTCAGTCTCTGCTAGCAGTAACAGGTTCATGACAGTGGTGTACTCTTGCCAGTCCCAGCGATACAACAACAGGGGTTCTGCTGTTCAGATGTCAGCTCACTTCTGGATCTCACTTCTGACTCAGATCCACAGCACACAGCTACAGGTAGCAGGTTGGTATGCACACAGGAGCAGAGATGTGAAAACCTGGGAGTACACAAAGTGAAATGGAAATCCCTCGGTTTTTAGCCTGTGAAAATACATCTCTCTATCTTTATAACCAGATTGCATTGTGAATTGTAGTCCAATTGTTCATTAACTGCCATAGTAAAGTTTCTTTCCCTAACTTCATCTCCCATGATTCAATGCTGCCATCAAGTCTCTTGAGCTCTTTCTGCTTGTCAGCTACCCCTGGTGGATTGAGACGAGGTGGCATTAACCCAATCAGAAGAAGTCCATTGGGAGACACACAAAGCACTGAAGCACAGTCTCCTATATCACTCTCTGTCACTAGCCAAGCACCTGGCTACATTACATTTTGGCAGTTGCATATGGATCTGTTTTAAATATTCAAGGTTAATTTTTGTAGTGCTTTCCTAGGTAGGTTGCTAGGTAAATTTAGTTCTTTTTGGCTCCTCTGTAAACATTGGAGCAGCTATTGATTCTTTTGGGTTGTTCTAGAATTTCACAGGCTGCAGGTTTGATTGCATTCTGAATGTTTCCTGAACATAGAGGGCTTAGAGAGGCAAATGGGCAGGTTGAATATTTAGTGTGCTTCAGCCAATCCCTGGGGTAGTGTGCCCAGTAGGAGACTGTGGAGAACAGAAATAGCCTGGGGTCCGGAGCAGCCCTGCTTCTTGTTCTGCTGGAAAAGTTTCCAGCCTCATGGACTCTTTTTGCTGGAATCTGCTAATGTTCATCAAGGTTTCAGCTGTGGCAGAGCTGGGGAGGCTAGTCCTAGTAATCTCTGGAGCTAACTAAGCAGTCTTACCTAAGGATCTGGTCTGGAGGACTCACTGAAGAGTGCTGGTTGGAAGCTGAAAAGTGTGTAGCTACCCAGTGGCATTGTAAGTATTAACCCCCTCCTTCATTGAAGAGCATCTGGTGGTAGCCAGGAACTGAGCAGTTGCCCTGAGACATAAAGATGTCTGGAGAAAACTAGAGAAGCTCAGCTGTCCTGGAGAGACATTGTGAGTATTGACCTGAGCTCAAGATCCTAGTGAGTGTGTGCTGTTCTACCTTTGGGGATCCAGCAGTAGCTTTCTCTATGAGACAGCTATAACAGGGTCTCCTGTGAGCTTTAAGACTGTTAAGAAAGATACCTCATGGTCCAGAGCTGTGAGGGTTTAGACTCTCCTCTCATTGATGTTGCTAGGTGTTTTGGAGTATCCAATACCACTCCAACCCCTCTCCTTCTATAAGCAATAAATCTTGAAAAGACATCCCCTAAACCAGTGGCTGTCAGCTCATTAGTTAAAGAGCACATCAAATGCAGCCCCTGACTTCACCAAAGAGCCACACATAATGTTCAATATATGTAAAGATTAAGAGGTCTGTCAGAAACTGCAGACCTAATAAATTAAACGAGGGTGAGAGAGTGTGGACATGCTACATGTTGGCTGGGTATGGCTGCAAAAGACAATACAAAACTGAGAGTGTGTTATGTTACATGAGCCTAGTAGAGATCAACCCTATGAATGTTCCTACTACAAACTGCCGAGGTCCAAGGGCCACACATCATATACCCAAGGGCCGCATGCCCACCCTCAGGCCACAGGTTGGGCACCAGGTCCCTAGACTGTTTAATGGAGCCTAAGTGAATGGACTGTTGCTTGTGTGATTGGTGGACTCTGCGCTATCTGGGAAAGAGACAGTTAATGGCAGCTCCCCTACTGGGGTAGTGCTACATTTTAAATTAGAACTAAATGCAACTTTTCTTTTTTCATTTTGGATAGATTGCAGGAGGCTTATAACCACTATCCGATTTTTTTTTTTTTTTGCCATATTTGGGGAGATTTCCCTTCACTTCCTGTCCTATAGCCAAAATAGAATTGAGAAAAAGATGTCCCCTTCATTACTTCTAGGGACAACCCAAATTTTTTTTCCCCACTTTTGATGATAATGGTAACTAGGACAAATAGAGAGGGTGAATCTCCGTAACAGGACACAGACGGCAATAAAAACTGACAGGTGTTCTAATCCCTCTACACTCTATCCAAAAGTAAAAAGAAAGTTTTGATTTTAGTTATATTTTAAAGGCAAGGGAAAGGTATAACAAAAGACAAAACATTTTTTTAAATGGTGGAATCAGAACAACTGTAAGGTTTTTATTGCTGTTTTGTTAGAGAGATTCAACCAATCTATTTGTTATAGTGACCTTTATCATTGAAAGTGAAGGAAAATTCCACATTTTGAGTGGTCACTGGAACAGGAATAGAGGGGAAACCATCCAATCTGGTGACCTTGGGGACTACCAGGGATTTCCTTCACTCTGGAGGGATTTTCTCCCACTGCCTGTTGTGGCTATAGGATAAGAAGTGAATGGGAAATCTCCCCAATGGGACACAGGTGGCAAAAAAAAGCCTGACTTGGGCTATAGTCCTTCCTTACTTTATCCAAAATGAAAAAAAAAAAGGTTTTGCCTTTAGTTCTAGTCTAAGATTCTTTGGAGTAGGGGAGCAGTAGGGTTAAAGCAATGTATGAGTTTCTCTAGATATGGAGTTTGGCAGTAATCACAGCTTGTAATGACCAGAGCAAGTCCCGTTGTCGGTTTTATGTTCTTTTTAGTTTGGATACAGGGTGATACACTCACTCACTCACACTGTGTTTTAGCATTGTGAAAAAAATAGCAAGTGTGGCCTTATCTCATGAAT